CCCTACAGCAGCAATCCCTTAGGGAACTGTGAGCGTGTTGGTAGGATCTCATACTAGCCAATTGCATACAATAAAAAATATATTCAAGCTCTGGAAGGTGACATTTATTGAAAAGGCACATTAAAGTAGATATATCAATTTCACAGAAATACCACAAAATGATTCATTAACGGTGGACAACTACATTTTCTCTTTCTTAAAAGAAATTAGAAACAATTCAGTTGTGCTTTGTCCATTTCTTTGTTTCCACTGTTGAATAATTCTAAAACTATTAGGATGTATAAAACTTGATATAATACATCGTACTTCTGCTTGCACTGAACATTTATTCTCAAGGCATTTAGAGTGCTTATACTCAGAAAAATATTTTCAGTTACACTGTTATTATATTACTCCAGCAGTTAACAAACTATTTCAGGCTCTGATCCAAAGTTCATTAAAGTCAATGGGAGATTCATCTTGCATGAAATGTCTTTGGTTCCCAAATCAGGAAAACCCTGAATTTCAGCATGGATACTTTACTCTCAAAATACTCTTTTGTAAAATTATTTTCAACAATATTTCTTCTCAACATAATAAGCCCATGATACATTAAATCACCTTGAATCTGGAGTTGGCTTCAGATTCTTACGTATCAAACAGCAAAATAGGACCATGAAACCGAAGAAAGGTCAAGACTACAGGAGATGTCAATACTATTTCTCACTGTATACACACTCATGACATAATTTCAAAAGGACTAATTTCCCTTCTCTTTGTTATACTCTAAAGATCTTATAGACCTGTTCAGCAAACATATTGAAATCATATGTAGACTACCCTAAAATATTTTGATGAATATGACTGTAATACAATTAATTAGAGAAATGTTCTCAGGCTGTATGAGCATTTTTAAATGGTTTGGGAACATAAAATATACTTTTTTTTGTGTACATAATATACATTGCTATTAGTTCCTTTAATACAAATTTGTAGAAACAGTACTGGATGCTAAGAGACTTCAAAGCATCTTAACTCAGAGGATCTTACATGTTGAAATATTTAAAGTTCTGTTAGGTCTAATTAAAGGTCACAACATCAATTAGAGCATTACTAGCAATTCCAAAAATTAAGCGCAGTCAAGACATCTTTACACACTCACCACAACATAATATAGCTTCATTCTATATTCAGTAAGTCCATTCTACTAATTAGGAAAAAAATTTTTTTTTAAAGACCAAATTGAGTGTAACCATTCTGTCAGAGTTAACATAAACACATATAATACCCATTTTTTTAAGAGTTACACTTAATTGTATGGATATGCAGTACATCAGTTTTAAGTAATGAATAGGAGATATGTCAAGGGAAAAAATAGATGCCATGGCAAACTTCAGAAACTTGCAGGCATAATTTTTTTGCCAGCATAGTACCATTGGGGGAGCGGCAGGGGGAAAGTCATGGTGCTAGAGAGCTTCACATGCAGTGTCAGGAGCACTACAGATCTACTGCAACTACATTAAATAGCCACATGCAGTTGAGAAACATTTCTTCTCAACTGCTCACAAATTATGTCATTTTGCATGCTGTGCTGCATTAGTCAATTGCAAACAGAAATCACTGTTTTCATAAGAGAGAAAAAGCAAATTGTCCCCCTTAAAAATCTCAAGAATACAACAACAGTATCACACAATGCTGGAGCAGTTATTTGTCTTTGGCGACCGCAGAGCTGTAGACAAGAGAAAATGCTTATTTTCTTGACATGAGGCCAGCTCTAGAGACTAAAAATACCAATCTGTATTCAGCTCTTGTAAGATGAGAAAACGGAGATCAGCTGTAATATAAAAATGAGTTGGATATAGGAATCACAGTTACAAAGCTGGGCAACAATTAGCCATTTATTTAATTGCTATTTCCTTTTTTTTTTATAGGACAAATAACAGCCCTGTGGTTCACTTACCACTGCTGCGAGAAAAAACTCATGGACAAAAAAAAGACAGGCAGCAAGACTGTATTTGACTGAGGGATTGCTTGAACTGGGATAGGGCCCTCCAGTTCACGGCGGGCTGCAGCTGACTTGTTCTTCTTCCTGTCACCGATGTGCTGGTGCTGGCATGCCAGCCAGCTGCCTTGGAGGCTTCAGCAGCCTTTATGCTTGCACCTGCCAATCATGCAAATTGTGCAAAGGCTGCTGGGGGAAGGAGACAGCTGCATGGCATGCCAGGACGCAGAGCGAGAGTACAGCCATCATCTCCCACTTGGGTCGTGAAATGGAGGGTGGCGTAAGCATGTCGCTATCATGGTCCAGACATCAATTACTTCAAGGACTGGTTTAGCTCTCCCAGTATGCTTCTTCAACAAGGCCATACTGGGTTTTTGGACCACCCTGACAGAACGTGCCATCTCGCAATTAGATTCATACATAGACGGACCCACGGGACAGTACAACCATCTGCTGTTCTGAAGTATTGATACGCTGCCCCTCAGTCATATGTTCCACCTGCACTGTCCCCAGAAGTCACCATGGTTCAGTGAAGAGCTTTGACAGATGAAGCAGACAGGAAGGAGAAGGAAAGAAAACTGGCTTTTAGCCTGATCCACAGCAGTACATCTAGCTTGTGCAAGGAAGGTATCACAAAGTAACAAGGAGTGAAGACTGAATATCTGTTCAGTTTCTCAAGCATCCACCTGGGCAACCTTGAACAGTGATTTGTCTCCTCTCTGTCCCACAGCCTCATATACCTGTAGCAAGACATTTTCACCTGAGTTTCTGTTGGAGTTTACTGTCATCCAGATTTAGTGCTACTGAACACTTGGGAATCAGGATCAGGGCCCCACTGCACTAATACCAATAACAGAGAGAGATTCCCAGGCAGAAAACCAGAGCAAACTAGCTAAACTGTTCCTTAACATTGCCAGTGTTCTAAGAAGGCAATGCCTACAAAATATGTGCAGTGTTAAGAAACAACTGGTGACATATTGCCCAAATATTGACGACTCTTAGCCAATTAATGCCAACATTCAGCTAAAACCAGAGGGTGTCAGACATCAGTTTCACATGTTTATGGCCATCTAATTGATTTTAAGTACTTCTCTTTGTTAAACATTCAGAGGTGCTTAACCTCTCAGTTCAGCTTAGACTTCAGCCATCAGACTGAGCTGGGAGAGGCCTATTAAACAGCCAGTCAGCCTGTGCTGAAAAATAAACCAGCCAGTTTTGGTCACCACGTTACATAATTTGTGTTCTATAAGTAATAGAGCAGGTCTGCCTTTAATTAGCCAAGAAGGAAAGGGCTGGCAGGGGACTGGCAAGGAAGAAAGAAACAGAGAAACAAGAGGCAGATGAGAAAACACTGCTGGTGAGGAAATTCTAATAGAAATTGGGTGATTTTGAGTGAAATCTGGCAGTCTCTGGCACATATGAATGCATTCATTGTTGCTAGTTTTGATTAATGACAGTTGTACAATAGTGTGCTGACAGTCACTGCCATACAGACACAATTTTTTTTTATATGAAACACTGCTGAAAATGCAACCCAATCAGATTTGGCCCCTGAACAACATGTGCTATCATCACTGTACCGTGAATTGAGATTGATTGGTAACCAGCTGTGACAAAGTGGGAAAAAGAGCCTTGTCTTTTTCAAGAAAAGAAAAGAAGAAAAATAAAAAACTAAATTGTGTCAAAACCATTACCATCTGCTCAACCAAATAACAAATAAAAAACCCCACATTAACTGTTTTTAAGTATCACAAATTAATGTACTGAGGTTGAATTCATGCATTGACTTGAGCATCTACGAATAAAGTTGAATTGAACTGGTCTTGTCACAGTTATAATTTTTTTCTCCAAATAAAGTGTATTTATTTATACTCAGCCACCAATCTTCCATGGCTATCAAATAACAAAAACAGAGAGAAAAGATTTACTGAACTTAGAGATATTTAACAATATGCCTTTTTTGACATACATTTTTCAGTGTTTCACAGAACCCCTAGATTTCCAGATTTTCAAAAATGTGCACGCAGCTATGCATAAAAATATATGCACCTTTTTTGTTTTCACATGCACAAGTAGCAAAACTGGGTCTGTAGCTGCTGTCATTAAATTCCTAGATATCCAAATAGGCCTAACTAGTAATACAACAATGTACCTGCTTTAGCAGTGTATTTGAAACTTCACAGAATGTATCACTGAATTCAACAAATGCAACTCAAAAGGTCTTATTTCTCACTAACAGGAATTTGCAAGAGGAAAAAAATCACAAATGTAGTTAACTTATGCCACTGGCCTCAAAAAATTTACATCAATTTATACCAAGCATCTATTTTCTTCTACAACATTACTGTAAATAAAAATACACAAAATAAAATAATAGATTCTTTGTATGTACACATTGTAGGCTTTCCTTTTTTTTTTTTTCTTTAGAGATGGCACAAAAATGACTGCTCTATTTTCTTTTGCCTGTTTGCCAGGTTATTTTACAAAACATGCACAAAGCCTCAAGATTACTCACAACATCGATGATTAGGGAGCCCAAACAGAGAGATGCTACTGGCCAAAACCAGAGTAAACAGGACGTAGTTAAGGAGGCTTAAGTTTCTGTCTCCACTTCTCTTTTGTA